CCTTAGACGTGGCTGAGCTTTACAAGTGCAGTGAAGACAGCTTCAAGCAAAGTAACACACGATGCGTAGGCAGCTGAACTGAACTTGAGCGAGGATGCACAAGGAAGAGCAAGTGAGAGCAAGGATGGGTCCTCTGGCATGAAGTTGGCGACGGTCGTGGAAACACAGTCCTGGAAGCTCCCATAGGTATGTTCCGTAGGCTTTGTACTAACTCGGCCCAGCCGTTACTTCCCCAGGATACAACTTCTCTAAAGTGTCCATTCTATTTCCTGGATGCTGGGACTCCACAGTAACACCTGTGGCCTCCTTTGTCCCTGAACCTGGTTCTTTATGCTGTTTCTCCCAAAAGAAAACCACGTGTCTAGGACTCACCTGGAGCTCCCAGAGACAAGGTGCTTGGAGACACCTGAGGAGCCAGCAGTTGAGGGCCACACGGACCTGCAGACACTGGCCAATGGGCCCCACACAGGTGGGACTAGTGGTCTTGAGCACACCCAGGCTTCACTGATGGGCTCCAGTCCCCAAGTCCCCAGGGAGATAGACAAACGCTCAAACATTACTTTTTTCCACACAACTGTGAATTGTGCCTACGAGGGCTGAACTATGAGAGCTTACCTACCAGCAGGAGTTATGACTGCAAACTATATATACCAAACTGAAGGATTTTTGAAAGGTTACTTGCTGTGAACACTGTATTTAACCAACCTATATGCATATAGGAAGTCTATTACCACTGCCATCTTTAATTACAAAGATGAAATATATAGATAATACATTAAAGTGCTATTATGCACCATTCAATTCTTTTGCATACCGTAAGAAGAAAAATGTAGATCATATGGCAAATTAGCAAAAGTACAACATGGAAATTTAAACCCACAGAGTCTGAATATCTAAAGTCAAGTCATGTTAGGGGCGCCTGGGTGGCTCAGCTGGTTGAGCCCCTGACTTCAGCTCAGGTGGTGATCTCATGGTTTGTGGGTTTGAGCCCCAAGTCGGGCTCTATGCTGACCGCTCGGAGCCTGGAGCTGTTTTGGAGTCTGCGTCTCCCTTGCTCTCTGCCCCTCCCCCACTCGCAGCTCACTCTCTCTCTCTCTCTCTCCCTCTCTCTCTCTTAAATATAAGTAAACATTAAAAAAAACAAAGTCATATTAAAACCTGACCTTCTATGCTGTGGAGTAAAGGATGTGCTTATAACTGAACAATTCTCTGATTTATGGATTTAAATTCACACAACTGATTTCCATTCGATGATTTGGCTTTCACTTGTTCAAGAGTTTGCAAAAGAGTATCAAGAGTATCCCTGTGTGCTTCAGTAGTTTTAAATGTCAATTACCTTGCAAGATTCACAATAAATCTCTTCCGCCCAGTTTGAATCATGCTGGAGGTTACAATACATTGTTTGACCCTCAACGCGGTAATCTAAGATGTCAGGAGGGAAAGAGTACCTCTTTGGAAAAAATAATTCAAAAATTTTAGGATGTGATTGAACAGTAAGTAAAGCAAAAGGGTTTTCAAAGTTTTCAATTGCCAAGTCCCCAGCTGAGGTACTGGTTTCCCTCAAGCCCACCATTTTGCCGATGGTATATTTGCACTGGGCGCAGTGGAAACAAGGATTCGCCAATTCTCATTCACAGAGTGTCATAAGGATACAAAAAAGGCATTCCTTGGCCTTTCAGTCTCTCATTACTTATACTTTGTGCTTAAAACTAAACACAGTAAATGCAAAATATAAAAATAAACAGTGGTCCCTGCATTGAGGCAATATGGATGGGAAAAGGGTAAACACAAAATCAGAGAAATGTAAACTTGAAGGTTTTCACAGAACCATTAATTCCCTCTGCACATATTGGAAATATTTAGAATTACCAGTTAAGCTTTTAAATATACATTTTCTTAACAAGAGAGAAAAGGTTGGGTGTATTCATATTTTGATAATCACCTTAACTTTTCTCTTTTTCAAATTATGCTATTTGGATCCGAACTGAAAACCACATCAGTATCGATCATTACAGTTAATGAAAAATAGCTCTGCTATTGTTATTTCATAACCAACAGGGCTTGGGTAATAAAATTTCATGTAAGTGCATTTTGCTGTCCAACAGTGTTACTAGTCAAAGGCCTGCAAAATCTTCTGACATTTATAATGCTCTCTTTCCAGATGCCTCAAATGGCTGCCTACTTCACCTCCGAAGGATGTGGTATAAAGCATATCAGATGAAGTCTACCAGTCCCCGAGTCTCTTAAGAAGAAGCCATCAGAGATTCTAGGAACGGTATCTTCAAACAGGATACCCTCAGGCTTGATTTCTAAGCTGAGGGCAGATACACAACTTTAGACTTTGAAACTGTGTCTAGAATGGAATGTTAAGGACAGGAGAGGCAGTGCGCAAGAGCGTATGGCATGGAATGGGAGTAGGGCAAGGTAAGATAGCAAGCTGGACTCGGAGAGACTCCCCTGACCACCGCGTCTTTGCCAAGGACGGGAGGGAGTCCTTACATCTTCACCTCACCTTGGGGTCCCTGTTTGCTTGCACAGGTCAAAGGCTTTCCTGAATTTTTCATGGAGACAGGGGCCTATCTTCATGAAAGAGGTCAAACACAAGACTTGCCTGCCCTCACCCCCTGCCCATGCTCTTTTAACCTTTGCCCCCTCCAGCAAGGTTAATGAATAATAACGTAGTGAAGAGTAACGTAGAATAAACGAAAGTAAAGCTGAAGAAGAATCTCTTCCATTTTATTTGGAAGACAGAATGTCATCGTTGGTCTATGGGTGACCAGTAGCATATGAAGGAAAAATTTCAGACACAGGTTGAAGGCTGACTTTTGTTCTCTTTCCATTTCAGTGCCCACGGTCCATTAATCCCCGCTCGGTGGGGGGAGGCCTCAAAAAACAAAGCATTAGTAACGGAGGGCTTCTCATAGGGACTGTTATATTTTAAGGGCACAAACTATTTCCTCAAATCCTTTGGCATCCTTGACCTGCACATTCCTGTCTCCACGGTCACCCACCCCCACAAACATGCATCTATGTGTGCACATACACATGCATGCGCACACACACAATACCCACGTATATACTTCTCTAGAGAACTTACTGGAGCACATCATTCTGAGGATAGAAAGGACAGGATACTTGAAGACAGGATCCTTGCTACACTAAGATTCGTGATGCAGCAACGAGGACCAGCATTAGACCGTCTTTCCATGGATCCTCCCACTACTCCCTCAAGCCCCACACCAAACACACCTTCTGATACGTTGCCTGTCTTGACCATCTATATTCAGGGCCTTTCAGATACAATCATACCCAGTATTAGTCCTTAAGAATCTTCATACACTTCCTTTCACCCTAAACATTTCCTTGGCGTGATGACTGGTTCTTTGAAATGGTCTCAGACCAAAAGAAACAAAACAAAACAAAACAAAACAAAACAAAACAAAAACCATCCAGAACAATGACGACTGCTTTTCACATTGATGGGAAGATGTGAATGGCTGGGGGAAATCCACCATTGTGCCCTTCTTTTCAGTGAGACCGTATCATAAATGTGAAGGCAATGTGGCCTATACATCTGTCACTCCAGTCAATGCCAGGGTTGATTCGGCTGATCTGCCCGATCTTACCGCTCTCTGGGAACTACAAGCTACATGACAGAAGACAATCTTCCCTGAGAGAGGAAATGCTAGTCTTTAATTAAGGAGGTACAGGTACCATAACTGCCATATTAGAAACCTCAATAAATTTGTAAATGTGAGGCATGGCAATCTCATTTACCTGCCTGCCTTCCAGCACATCTAAACATTGAGGTTTACCATTTGCTCTTAAGGACTCTTTTCTTGACCATATAGTTTAAATAAAGTAGCTTGTGTATATGCAGGTAATCTATCAAGCTAGTTATTCGTGCAGAGATCAGTGGAAGACTTACATTCTGAGATTTCATCATAGATTTTATGGAAAGAGTTTCAATGTCAAATATTTGGATAATGGGAATTTTTATGTATCTGAAATGTGCTCAATTTCTCCCAATTTGATAAACAAAACCAAACAGCACGTAGTGTTGGTGTCAGAGTAACAGATAAAGTTTAGATCAAGACCTAGATTGGTTTTCTGTAGTTTCGTAAACATGAAAGAGCCCATGCCTTCAGTATATATGGCTCATGAATAATCAGTCTGGCCTCAACCTGCTCTTAGGCTTCCCTAGAAGCAGACGATATGTTGGTTTTACCAATACAATACTAACATGTAAGATGCCAAGGGAAGCAGACATTGTCTATGTCCACTGGGAAATTCATTCATTTCTTCCACAAATATTTATTAAGCATTAACTATGTGCTTGCATTGTTCTGAGTGCTAAGAACACAACAGTGCACAAAACACCACCAGACAAAACCCCTGCCTGTCACTGTACCATCTACTTTTGAGTGAGATTCTAGAACACAAGTTCCTAGAATTTTAGGAAGAATCTTCTCATTTTTTTTGAGGCCTCAAATTTCTGAAGAGGAGAAGGGAGGTTGATGGTGAAAGTTCTGAGCTAGGCTACAGGGAGGGGTAAGTATCTATTGATATGCCCTTTGTTGTAAGAGGACAGAAAGCCAAATGTTGACTTTCTCCTGGCTGGAAGAGGAGAGAGAGGGCTTGGTAGCAGCAAGCAGCTTGGCAATTCAGTCATTCAGCAAACATTTATGGAGCAACAAGATATTCTGATCTACTAGTTGAAGAACGCCTTTATAAGACAATCCACTGCCACCATCTGATATTCTCTTGTTTGTAAAAGTTACTCCATGTCTAGGCATGTTCCCAAAGAGAACAGGTGGGTAACGGTGGTATAGAAATAACTACCACTTATATTGCACCCCACAAATGGGAAATTTACTTATTAACGTGATCAATGATCGTTGTGGAGTGGGTTTCGTAGAGCTACGTTCATGGCGCCAAGGCTCTTAAAGTCAAGGTAACATAAGCTACGGCCTGAGAGGTTAAAGCCGCGCTGCTCCTACCATGACTGAGATGTGCAGGATCCTCAATTCCTCTTCTGCTGACTCATGCTGGGGTTCTTCAGTTGGGTCTTGTCCAGGGAGGCTGGGAGCACCATCTTGGTGATGAATGTGAAAGAGCAGAGTGCCATTCTCCAGCCACTGCTGCCTCCAGCGCACCAGAGGGATGTCCTCTGTGTTTCCCGAGATCTCTAGAGAACAAACACCAAAGCACAGGTCAGAATTCGGACTGGCCCAATCTGGATCTTCTTATTCGTCTTCTTCCTAGGCAATGGTACCAATCAGCCAGTGTCAGCTAAAGACGACAAAGGGTTCCAGCTATGGTTAGGTCAGGTTTCAAATCTCCAGGAAGGGAAGAGGCCCCGAGAAGAAGAGACTTATCCACCGCCTAGATCTTTGCTCCATAATCGAGTGAGCCAGACTCTCACCCATTGAGAAAAACACCAAGGTGAAAATTCGAGCTCTTCCCCATATTTCTATGATCAATAGCATCCTTTACCCAGCACTGTTTGAATACCCTGATAACCCCGGAGGTAAATAGAAGGTTGTTTGCCTCTTGTAAATTTGAAAATGTGAGTTCCCTAGCAATTACTCCTAGACACCAGTGAATCTACCAAGGAAAGAGCTGGTAATTACTGTGCAGAGAACTGGCACGTCTGGAACAGTCCTGGGAGGTTACTGCAGAGCAACTGGGGCTGACAGAATATTTCTAAAACCACAATCATTTGCTGCATAGCCCACTGGAGATGTGTAATACTCGCCGTGGCAGGGATGTTTTAATTCCCTTTAATTTTTCTCTTCATTTTTGCAGAGCAGAGCTGGTACACACAGAGGGGGTGGTGAAAACCTGGGCCCTTAGCACAGACACAAGCACTCACCTGCTCTCAAGGCTCGAGATGGAGGCACCGGACTATCATCAACAATTAACAACAAAATACCAAAAACCTACTATGCATTTCACACTGCAGGTGCTAAGCTACTGGTACAGAAGTATGCTACTATGGGTCTCTCCTGCTAATATTCCTAAGCAAGATCACATCGAAGCTATGAGATAATTCACAACAGAGACCTGATTAGCCCAGCCTTTCCTAAACTTCATTTGGCCTCAAAATCATTTCTTCCTTAACAACTATTACCACCCTAGGGAACTAATATTCCGCTGAGCACACTTTGGCAATGCATTGCTTTATAAAAGTTCATTTTTTAAAAGGCATGGCTTCTTCTCCCAAAATTTATCACCTTTGACCAAAAAAAATAATAATTCCACAGACATAAAAAAGATTTAATAAGACACATTTAGAATAGTATTCTCATCAAGTACCGCACCATAAAGAGGGAAGCAATTTTGAATATTTATGGAGTTTATAAATATCTTTCACTATTTGTAGGAGGGCACAAATGATGTTCTGCTTTATTTATTTACTTACGTATTTATTCATTAATTGACTTAACATATACATTGGGCATGCACTGTGCACCAGGCACTGTTCTAGGCACTGTGATACTAATCTAAATGAGGCCCTCAACAAGTTCTCCAAAGCAATCCACCCTTGGGTGAATGTGAATGTGGGAGGTGTTACACCATGTATATGACACCATGTGAAAATGTACAATTTAAGAGTAGGCTTGCCTGGGTTGAGGGTGGAAGAAGGGGAGGAAATCTGGAAGAAGATGGTAGTGGCCTTGGGTCCTAAAGGGTGGTGGATATCCTTTTAACAGGTAGAGATGTGGAAAGGGGATATGCAGACACTGATAGGAGAATTAGAAGGAGGACGAGGAAGAAGAATACTGGCTGGTCCTCTCAGGGTAGGTTGGTGAAAAGAATTCACAGGAGCCACAGGTCATTAGCCTAACCCTAAAAGACACAGATAGTATTCCCTACCTCTTCCTAATACCCTCCAGACCGGGGAGAAGAGTAAATGGGTGTGTGACGGGCGATGAGGGGACAGCAAAGACAGGACGATCAGAGCCCCCCTTCATCCTCAGCCCCTCGCCCACTCGCCTGGCGCCCAAACATCCCACCGGGATGGCGAGCTGTCCGTGCTCTGGAAGTGACCAGCTCAAGCAGCCAAGAAGCTGCACAGGGTGTAAGAATGGAAGATCCCCTGCATCCGGGTCTTGGTTTTCCGCAGGCACAGCCCCATTTGTTAAGTGAGGCAGTGAGTGACACAGGACTCCTGAGTTCACTTTTCCTCTAAGGTGGCCTTCCAGACTTCCAGGTGAAGAGAAACCCTTGGGCATGCCTCCCAGCAGCAGCCACACGACATGTCACTACAAGTGCCCCAATCACAAGCTACTTCCCAACCATGGGTCAAGCCCCAGGAAGATTCCTCCTGGGAAGCACATCCCTCCCCCAAGTGCCTTCCCTGCCGCTGCAGGAAGAGACCAGTCTCCGCAGCATGGACAAAACTCACAAGCACTAACAGCTTATAATAGAACACCCAACACCATAATTCAATCACTCAGAGCAACACGCTTTCAGCCTCCTACCCACACCGGCTCTAAGCCAGCCTGGGATTAATTCCATACATGTTGGGTGCCACTTCAGGCCTTCCTGTAACTCTTTAGAAGGAATCTAGCACCTCATACCTCCAAAGCGCTTAAAATGGATTTTTCTTTCCCAGGAGACTCTCATCAACTAGGCCAGGCTCATTACCTCCATTTTTACTGTGGAAGCAAGGACAAGTAAACACCCAGATCAAGGTCATGCCAGCCTGACACAGAACAGGAGCTAAAACAGAAGTAGTCCTATCAGATCCCCTCCACTGCCAACACACACCAGACAACATGACTTTTGCAGAAGCACGGAGAGAGAGAGAGAGAGAGAGCGAGCGAGCATTTGAGTATGGAGTGCGTGTGGTCTTCTAGCAGGTTCTGAGCGGCAGTATTTTTATTTGTTGTGCAAGGTCTTAGTATTCCATGATTTCTTTATTTAAAAAAATTAAAAACATTTTATCAATAACATTTTATTAAGAAACATTTTTTAATGTTGATTTATTTTTGAGAGACAGGGAGACAGAGCGTGAGCAGAGGAGGGGCAGAGAAAGAGAGAGAGAGAGGAGACACAGAACCTGAAGCAGGTTCCAGGCTCCAAGCTGTCAGCACAACTCACGAGCCGTGAGATCATGACCCGAGCCGAATTCAGATGCTTAACTGGCTGAGCCACCCAGGCTCCCCAAGTATTCCATGACTTCTCTCAAAATTGAGATAGAATTCCCCTACCATAAAATCTGTCCTTTCAAAGTATACAATTCCATGGTGGTTCGTACATTCACAAAGTTGTGAGACCATCAGCACTGTAATTCCAGAACATCTTCATCAGCCCAAAAAGAAACCTATATGTATTGGCGGTCCAAGACAATTTCTGAGGAGGAAGGCGTTCTGCTCCAGGGTCCCAGGAGTGGTGGTACCAGGGAACGAACAGGTTATTGACAAAGTGCTCCCACAGGGAGGTGAGCTGAGAGCACAGAATCTCTGACCCTGGCTTCCAGGCCAGCCCTCTGAACCTCTTTGTGAGATATTCATGCCCATCTCCACAGACAGTGATATCCTGATCCTGCCCAGACCAGACTCATGGTAGAGGGCAAAAAAAAAAAAAAAAAAAAAAAAGAGAAAGGGTAAAGCAAGGAGAGCACCATGCCTGCCCATGAGGGTGCCTGTCATTTTTAAGATTCAAGATAATTACAGAATGATAGCTTCTTCTTTGGCCTTTTTCCCTGTCCTGGCAGGATCTGACATGGGAGGGCCAAAATGCTAAACCAGGAACTTATTTACTTATGCTGAATCTGCCCTAGGTCAGCCGATGAAAAACCACAGGGCACAGTAAACGTCTTGTGAATTTCGTCACCAATGGAGCTGAGATCAGAGCTTGGAACATCAATGTAATCACGTTGGCCTGGATGTTAGCAGAGGGTCTCCAGAAGAAGAAATGCTCAGAAATTGCTTTAGCAATGCAAGCCTTCCCTGAAACTCCCAAGAGGTACATACGGGAGGCGGCAGTTACTCTGGTCCAAAGCCTCCTGAGGGCTGTGGATGAGGCTCACACTGAGCCTCTGCTCTGTGTGTGCTCCGCACAGCCCAGTCCTCCATAGTGGACTGAATAAAACAAGTGCCTACAGAAGCCTCCACAGCCATTTCAAGATACCATGGGTGGGCTGGGCACCATTGCCAACAGCACACTGTGGGATGGAGATCTCCAGAAAGGGAAGGGTGCCCTTACTCTTAACGTGTCCATTCTTCCCCTATACGAGCCTCACATCTCCCAGCACCTCCCAAAATTCTGGAACTGCCTAGAATACACAGAAACCAGGATGCCATTTGTTCCTGTATACAATGAAGATTTTTGGAGCACACTCCATTGGCCACATTCAGCAAACTGCTATATGATCCCTATCCTGAAAGAGGCTTTGGTCTAGGAAGAAACTGAAGACATGGCCAAGACTAAGTACTCTAAGCGGTAACAGCCATGCTGAGTTGGGGGAGGGTGGGATCTGGCTGGACATGGGATATAATGGGAAGAGACGCTGGAGGCAACTCCATATGAAGAGAATGTGTACTAAGAAACGGCGGCCTGACGCCTGTTTGCAAAAGGGTAGCGTTAGTTCAGAGGAGTCATGGAGGATGAGGGAAGGAATGCAGATTGATGTCAGCTGTGAAAGGTGTGAATGCCAGTTTAAGCAGTTCCGAGCTAATGGAAAGTCACCCCCGGTCTCATTAAGCAGAGAAGGGAATAAGGCCAGGATTTAGAAAGATCAAGAAGACCCAGAAAGAGAGCGGCAGACAGACTAGACTCTACCCCAATCTCGTGGTAACTCTGATCCCGTATTCTGCAGTGACCAAAATACTGAGCTGGAACTCAAGAGATCTGGGTCTGGAGTAGCCTTGAATGTACTGCCTAGCTTTGAGTTTCCTTATCTACGTAAGAAGGAGCTGTACACATGAATTTCAAGACCGTTTTGTAACTTGACATTCCACGATTCTAAGTCCAGAACAGGGTGCTTCACATGACCGCCTAGAAAGATGGTAATTTCCACGTGCCAAGAAATGTCCACTCTTCTCTCAGGCCTTCCCTGCATTCCACCTCCCCTTTCCCTCAGAGCACAGGGTGGACAGGTTTGGGATGATTTCATCAGAGGCTTTATGAGCCAGGCCCCTTTTTGGACTGGACCTCAGGCTGGGGAGAAAGGTTCTC